ACACACACACACACACACACACACACACACACACACACACACACACAAACAGTATGCTTGAACTTTTGTCCTTGACGACCCCTGACCCCCTTACCCTTAATATACATTAAGAAATAAATAGTTGATACTGTGCTAAAATAGTTTTTCAACTGCAGTGATTCTGATAAAGAAATACCGATTATTAAGCAAATAAATAATCAAATAGAGAGATGAGGCGTTGCGTTTAATAAGTCAAGTAAAAGGAGAAAAGGAGGAAGAATCAACGTGACATTTTTTAATGAATCGTTTTTTATTTCCTTGTGGAATGAATGTTGCTGGCCAATATTGGTATTGCAGTCTAATAGGATGCATGCATGTATGACAGGATACAATGATGAAATAATGACATTTTGGACAGACATGGATGTAAACTGAAACATCTGTATGTATATAAATACATACTCATTAGGGCCTCTAATGTGCTGATGAAAATAGTCCCCGACAAATGCACTATTTCCTCCTGTTCGAGTGATGTTTGCTAAAAACAACAAGCAGCAGTATGTATCTGTGAGCTGGTTTTAAAGATGAATTTCTTCAGTTGGAACTAATGGGCTTTGGGCTGAGTGCCACAGAATGTATCGAGAGACAGAATAATGCATCGCTTGTATCGTTTGTTGACACACAAAAGTAAATACAGAATATTTTCAGTCATGTCCTTTCATTAACCCACAAAAGTGATATTTCTCTTCCTTGTTTTCTTTCTTTGTTCAGCAGCTGCAGGGTATCAAATACCCCTTACTTTTCAAATGGATGAATGAAAACATGAGTGACTGGAGGAAGACAAGAGGAGCAGGAGGAGGCGTGGCAGGCCCTTATTAAAGGAGGAGGGGGGTGGGGGGGATGGAGGCCATACGTGTGTCTGTCAGTATGCTGTGTGAACAGTGGTGACCAGGAGGAGCCGGGGGAACATTGAAATGATAGAAACCGGCGGGACAAACAAACTCTGGGCTGGAACTGGTTGGTACTGCTTTATCGGGATGTGGCTGGAAGGAGGGACGTGGCCCAAACAACACACAGGTCCCGCCCCTTCTTTGCTAATATTCACCTGCACATCGACTCAGAGGCTCAACTTGCAACAGAAAAAAAAAAACGTGCACAAAATGGACTAAATTTCACAAATTCTGTGGTTTACACCTGTGATAAAAAAAAACATCAACTATTAACCTGCTACGAGCTACATCCGCTGCTTATGGTGTTCTTGATTCTGAATAAATATGTACACAACTATGGCGACACAAACAACACACAACAACAGACGAGACAGGAGGATGCTTGGGAACGGATCAAAGGGAGGATCAGAGGCGGGGGAATACATGTGAGAGTGTCTGCGTTGGGTTTGTGGACGGGGAAGCGAGGCTGCTTTATGTCAATAAGTGTCGCTGTCTGTCCGCGTGTTGCCGTCTTAAGTGTTCGTTTTGCCTTTTAGATTTGCTTTTAGAGAGCCTTGAGGGATGGAGGGGGGGAAGGTGACTGTTGGATGAGTTACCCATGAATCATAACAGAAGGCCGGTCCCCAATTTAAACCTCCTTTCCTTTTGGCACACTTGTCGCTGACTTGCTGATATGAGAGCCTGACGAGCGGAACATGTGCTACACTGAGAGGAAGACTGCTGTGAGTTGAGGACAGAATGAAAGGGAGAGCCGCGAGGATTGTACGATATGATAACGCCTTAGTCCAGCTTGTAACTCCGGGTATGAAAAGACTTGAGAAAGTTAGACGATCTTGGTGGTGAACAAGTCTGGTGTTGTATTTTTGTTCATTACTTTAGCTTTTTTCCCCCCTCTGTTTTATAATACATGTAAAATGTGTAGATACCTTTTGCCAGATTGTGACAGATAGTTTAACGAGTGGGGGCTGGAGAGAAGAGTACTGTTTACTTCCTGACAGCCCTGGGGGGGGGGGGGGGGGGGGTTATTCTGCCTACCTTTAGGGGGGCGCGGGGGGGGGGGGGGGGGGGGGGGGGGGGCATTTGTACCACTGACCTTTAGAGTCCGCCAGAAGTGTGTGTTTTGGTTTCCACTGAGGCGGGCAATGACAGAAAGGTTTCTTGTTAATATTTCAAGGAGTGTTTTGACCCAGACCTGTCAGGATGGACTGATGCCACTGATGCTCATGAGCTGTCTGATGTCCTGTACATTTCTTTACCCATGCTTCAACTTTATTACTATGATATTTGTGTATATTTTCTGAATCAATAAAAATATACACAGCTTATACAGACTTCTAATATCATGTTTCAACTGATTGCAAAATATCTGATGATTCACATTTATTATTTGATGCTATATAAACATATATAATATATGTTTTATTTATTTTTAAATGTATATATACTGTACATTTTGTGAATGGCACCTACTCCTTAACCCCTTGACATTTTAATATTTCAACTTAACTTGTTTATGTATTGAAATGACACATTGTATATATATAAATATCCTAAATATCCTAAAACTTGATTTTCTTTTTGAAGAATTTATTTTTAATATCCTTAATCTGACTATGGAGGTCTGGGGATCACATGCCATAGAGCATCACTCACATGGACGTCCCCAAACGTGATTTAATTATTTATTTTTTGTTTATTAGTTATGTGTTTATGTATTTGCTGCAGTGTTGAGCACACGACAATTCACCAAATCTGCCTTTATGCTGTTATTTTGTTGTTGTAAATTCTTCTACGGTTATTTTATGGTGTAGTTCATTTGTATAGCACCTTTCAACAACAAGGTAATTCTAAGTGCTGTACATAAGACATAAATGTATTAAGAAAATGACACAAGGCAATATAAAAAGACACACAAATATAATTTTGAAAAGCAAATAGATGAAGGGAGTGCTCAAATAGAATAAGACAAATTAGACAGTATACAAATTACAGTGCAAGATATGAATAAAGAGTCCCAAGTTTAACTTAAGAGGCAGATGTGTGGTGCATAAAAACTGAATGCTGCTTCACTCTGGGGACAGACAGCAGAAGACATGTCCCAGACAATCTGAGAGTCGATAGTCAGGATTTTAGAAAAGTTGTAATTGGGACCAACCCACCTCAGAAATGTCTGTCTAACTACCAAAAAAATCCATTAAAATGTTCTTACTATTTTAAAAGAAAAATCTAAAAAAGTTAAGTTCGATTAATTAATGTAAATGGTAATTAGGCCTATATGTTCTGCAAATTGTACTACCCGAAAACTCAGTATATCAACCTCGACCATTTTATTTTATTTTAAAAGTGTTTTTTGTGAGTGCTCCAACTTTATGAAAGTACAATAAAATGATCAAAGCCCCAAATCGTCCTCAAAAGTAGGCATTGAACGTTCTTGGAAAATGAAAAACCTACCTAAAAAGGACAATCAACATACACAATTATTATTATGGTGAGTGTTTGTTGCCCACGCACTCTGACGACACAGTTAGGACAGGAAGTAATAAACAAATAACTCATCTTTGTACATCACCCACATTCACGACGCCGCTGTGCTGAACGGGCTGGACCGAGAATAGACCCGCGCATGCTCAGTGTTCGGTGAAGAAACTCCGCCCTGTTCCGGGTTAATAATGGTTACTGGTGTGTGATTGGCTGAACAGGCTCGTCCTCGCGGTGTGGGCGGAGCTTATCTGACCTGGAGTTAATCCGACAGGGATTGGTTTGAAATCAACGGAGTGGAGAGAAAAGGGGAGCCGAGAGGAATGACGGAGTCCACTGTTTTAACTTCAGAAACACGGACACTAGACAACGTTAATGCACAGAGGAGAAGAAACAGGATATTATAGAGGTTGTTTAACATGACTCTCTAACTTTAGAGGTGAGTTTTTTGGGGGGGAGACGCAGAGGCTGACGGGGCAGTCCGTCGAGGGCTCAACATGGATGTTCGGGGAGCAACGGTGCGGCTCTGAGGAGGAATTAAGGCTGTTTTCAGGGTAGTCTGCTCGTGGCTTCAACTGACGGAGCTCAGGAGGATTTCAAAGCAGTAGCCTGTTTGCAAGGTGAGCCTCTAAAACAGGTTGGAAATGCCTTTCCTTAACTCAACACGTTTAATTTACCCGACTAATAAAGTGTCTTCTTCCAATTTCCAGGTTTAGAAACATATCCAGTCTGTGCATTGTTAAGGCTATTAACAGTTAGCTGAGGTAAGACATTTCAAACTTTGCTATTTGTGGTTAACTTGTCTGAATGTGAGCTTCATTTCCATACTATTAATTCACAGCAGTGCAATAAATCACTGTTATTGAAGTAAGGTTAAAACGGATGGAAAGTTTCTGCTGAATAAAGCCCAGTGGTGGTGGTGGTGGTGGTGGTGGTGGTTGTTGTTGTTGCTTCAGCCAGTATGATAATCCAGTCTGGCTGTCACCCATACCATTACTAGCTTTGAATTATCTCCCATCATCACCCCTTTCCATCTGTTGTTGCTTTATTCCTGACCCCCTGCCTCTCTGATATAGTGTGTGTGTGTGTGTGTGTGTGTGTGTGTGTGTGTGTGTGTGGCTGGCTGGCTGGCTGCTGATGCCTTCACTTCTCCTTGTTGACCTGTAGATGTGCTGACGCCTGGCAAACCAACACAAATGACCTGCTGTCACACACACACACACACACACAAACACACAAACAAACAGCGAACCCGTAGCTCCTCTCAACCTCGCATATAAAAGTGTGAAAGCAGCCTAACTGGTTTATCAAACCACCAAATTCAATAACTTGCTTTTTTGATGCATTTAGTGTTGTAAAGAAAGTGTGTGTGTGTGTGTGTGTGTGTGTGTGTGTGTGTGTGTGTGTGTGTGTGTGTGTGGAATGGCATGATGTGAGCCTGTCATTGGCCGTGCTGTTTGTTTAGAGGGCTGTGTGACCTGTGGTTGCCATGCTTCTCTAGCAGACGAGGCCTGATAGGTCAGAATGATGGAAACCCTCTTTCTCATTCAGTGACTATTTATGTCCTCTCTTTTATTTGTTTTCTTTATTGGTATCTTGAAATGATGTGTGGGTGTATTTGCGTCAGGGTCTCTCTCTAGCTCAGTCCTGTATGTCAGCCGTGTGTCGGTACACGAACACACATTACCCTGAGAGCATTACTGCGTCACCTTGGAGACCGTGACGAGCTGCTGCTTACGTAACGTGTCTTCCGGCCACTTAAAGTCCAGTCATCTTCTGGAGCTGCAGCGTTTGTGTGGCGTCTTTTGCCCATCCCCACCTGAATTTCGTCAACCTGTAGGCTGTTGTTCCAATCACTAGTCAGATATGTGAATATCAGAGGTGGGATTTACAGGTTTTTGACGCTGTTACGAAACAGTTTTAGGTCAATTATGTTGTTTGAGTCTGTATTTTTTGTTATTACCGAGGGTAACGGGCCTCATCCAGGTTTCCCCCAGTGTTTGATCATCATATTTCAGGAGGTTTCCAAATGTACTCGCAGACGCCTCATCTGTGTTCTGTGTCCCTTCCAGATGTTGAATGTGTGGAGACGGGACGTGCCACTCTCAGAGAGGCTGGGGGAGGACTCGGTCCTGGCTGCAGCACCCGCCCCCCCGCCAACGGCAGCCCCGACGGGCCCCAACATGTCGTGGCTCCCAGAAGCCCCGTTGCTGAGCACGGACCAGCCGATCTTCCTCATGACTCCTGCGGCGCAGGCCGTGTCCGGCTTCTTCGTCTGGACCGCACTCATCCTCACCTGTCACCAGGTAACTGCTTCCAAACAGCAGAAGGGGGGGGGGGGGTAAATCATCATCCTTAAACTGTTTGAATTAAACAGCTGGAGATACAGATGTTGTGATTTGACTGAGCAGATTGGCTTTTCCTGAGAAGATGCTCATAAAGATGTAAACTATATTTTGTGTGTGTGTGCGTGTGTGTGTTTAATGCACAAATGATGTGATCCTGCAAACACACAAGCATCTGCTCAGGCCCAGAGAAGGGCAGGGGTTGCTTGGCAACATCCCTCAGCAGGTGTTTGTGATACAGAGCATGAATGCACACACAAACACGCACGCGTGCATGCGCGCGCACACACACACACACACACACACGAAGGTGAAACTTGATCCAGGTGGATGAATAGCTGAATAGAGTCTGTGTTTTTCTCTTTGACACATTCCTGAGCGGTGATGTAGGTGATATGATGTATTGATTAAGGTCAGTCTGTTAAAGATAGACACAACACACATCTGAATGTTCTCAAGAATCTGTGTCCTCATAATGACAGTATGGCGTTTCTTATTTTAGTTTCCAAGTCCTTTTGTAAAGCTCTGTTCAAGCCTACCTTGTAGACTTGCTGTGTTATCTCCCTACACGCGTGTTTAAGCCCTTTGATTCAGGCTTATGAGTCCACACGCCACAGTAAGAACGGGGAAGCAGCTTTTCACACTTATGCCACAAAGGTGTAGAATATCTTCCTTCTAATCCAGCCTGCAGAGCACCTTAAACTGAGTTTCACTCTGACGTAGTGCGGGTGTTTTACTGTCAGTGTTTAAAGCGTCTCTCCCGTCTCTCCCAGATCTACATGCACCTACGTTTCTACAGCTCACCGAGGGAGCAGCGCCACATCGTGCGGATCCTCTTCATCGTCCCCATCTACGCCTTCGACTCCTGGCTCAGCCTCCTCTTCTTCACCAACGACCAGTACTACGTGTACTTTGACACCGTCCGGGACTGCTATGAGGGTAAGAGCGAGCGTTTGTCTTCACCCTGTGGAGCTCAGTCTGTCTCTTAATGAAACCAATTCAGCAGCAACGAGGGCGACTTTTCCACTTGATTTGTTGGAAACGCATTGTGATCAAATCTGTCTGTTCGTCCGTAACAAATTATTCCACCCACTCGGTTAATGTTTATTTAGCAAAGTGCCCTGTCAGTCTTATTAGATGTTTGCCTATGTTATTAAATATGTGCACAATATGACGGCATTTTTCATTTTATCTGGACTTTAATGATTGAAATATGATTCAAAAGTGTCATACATACATTCATATGTATTTGGATAGAAGCTCTTATTCATTCCCAAGTTGTTTTTAGTTGATAAATTGGACGTTTGGTTTTGATATTACTTGTAGTTGAGTTAGTGCGATCTAGTGAAACTGGGATGCAAACATGGATCAATGGCTTACTGTTCAAGGTGTAATATGGTCTGAGTTTATTTGTGTCGGGTCAGTGAAGTTGATGGTGAGCCGGCAGCTTTGCTGAGCAGATGGATGACAAAAACAAAACAAAATGCCGTCCGGTGCTCTGAATCTCTGAGGACTGTTAAACGTTTGAATCAGCTGTGACGCTCGCTGGAAGTGACACGGGCGTCACTTCCTGTATCCGCGCATTGATGACGTCGCATGCATTTGAATGTGAAGGGGGAGGAGCTCTACGTGCGGTTCTGCTTTCGGCAGGAAGCGGCGTCAGTGTTGTGGTCGTCGTGTCGCTCTCTCGTACAGAAGGCTCTCCTCTCTTTACCTTCCCTCCTCTTTACTCTCAACCAAATCCTTTTCAGCACCTTTCCAACTTTCCCTCCTATCCTTGTCCTCCTCCTCTCTTTCCTCCCGTTTGTCTCCCCCTTCCCACAATGCATCTGAGCCCCCCGCCCACATCTTTTCCTGAGCGAAGAAGGACCCGACCTGTTGCGTGGCAACCGCTGCTCGCAAATCTTCCTCATCAACCAGAACGGCTACATCCCATAATGACTTTCTCTCAACCAAACTGGCTGCAAAGTTCAGATTCTCATTGAACGAAAGGCCTACTGTATCACCGTGGCAACTAGCCCGGCCCACGGGGGTCCTTGGAGAGAAGTGAAGGAGCACAATGGTGAACAGCTGAGACACGGAGAGCTACGCAGGTCTACCAGCTCTCCTCCGTCAGCGCTGTGCGCTCGCTTTTGTGTTGAAGTCAGACTGTGACATGGTATTTATGGCTTATCACTTCAGTCTGACGTAAGACAGTAGACCACAGATGTGCGTGTGTGTTTGTGGGTGGAGCAGAGTGAGAGCAGAGAGTCAAGAGTGAGGAAAAGGAAAATATTACAACTCATCGGATCACTGAGGTAAAAAGAATCAGTGCCAGCAGTACAGCTCAGCAGAGATCAGTATTGTGACACAACACGTACAAACATCCTCCTGAACCGCACGCACGCACGCACACCATGGCACACGCCCAAGATATATCACATTCTCATTCCCAGTAAAGCGATACACACCCCTACCCTGCTCGCCGTATCTTCCCCTCACATGCAGTCATGAGACTAGAGAGTGTGTTAACAGGATTAGCCCGGCTGTGTTTTTATGGTCATCATCGCCCTCTCACTGGAGCAGCACAGAGGAGAGATAATCCACCGGGCACAAGAGACGGTCAGGTGGAGATCAGTCACACAGGGAGGTGTGTCGTACTGTCCTGCTGAAATAGTATAAATCTAACATTTTACGTCCGTACCGAGTGTTTTCAGCTACAATCGGCAGTCTTTTAGAACTTTACATATAAACTACACATGATTCTGCAATGTGTTAGTCTGCAGATGTCTAAATAGGTGGGACAGGAAGTGATGTGTGGGTGTGTGGGGGTCGGCTGACTGAAGGATTCTCTCTGATGTACGTGGTAGTTTGTGGTTTTGCAGTTAAAGCAGTTTTCTCACTGTTGCTGTTGGCAGTTGCTGTTGGGCAAAGTCTTTCAAGGGCTAAATCTGTTTTCACACAGGCTACATGAAGTAAACATGTATTTATAGTAATCATTTTTATGACAATTTGAAGATTATATCTTAAAGCAGATATACAGTGAACAGGCTCCAGTCCTGGAGGAAGACATTTTGACATGTCACAGTAGATAAAAAGCCAAATACTGCCCTCTGAAACATCAAGCTGGCTTGTGAAGGACTACCATCACTATTAAAATAAGTAAACGCATCGAGATAACATCAACTAACCCTTTCTCTCCTTGTTTGTCCCCCAGCTTTTGTGATTTACAACTTCCTGAGTCTGTGCTATGAATACCTGGGAGGAGAGAGCGCCATCATGGCCGAGATCAGAGGGAAACCCATCGAGTGAGTCTCACATATCCTCTGTTGAAGAATCCGATTCTGAACGGCTGTTAAAGCCAGCATGAAACATGTAGGCCCTCCCAGCATGGCTCCGTGAGCAGGAGAACTCCGCATCCTCATTCATTCCGTCATAACTGAGGAATTTATTGCCTTAATTGGCAAAATGTTCCCACAAATATCAGAGACATCAAGTATGAACCAGGTGTGTTTGGTCCCATCAGGTCCAGCTGCATGTACGGCACCTGCTGTCTGAGGGGAAAGGCCTACTCCATCGGCTTCCTGCGCTTCTGTAAGCAGGCCACGCTGCAGTTCTGCGTGGTCAAACCGCTCATGGCCGCCGTCACCGTCATCCTGCAGGCCTACGGCAAATACAAGGACGGAGACTTCAAGTAAGTGCTGCTAAACGGGCAGGAAGGGATGAAGTCCATCAGCTCAGTCTGGACTGACTTTTGGGTTCATATATTGCTTCTGATTGGTGGTAATGAGAAAGTACAAGTAGAAACAAAACCAGTAACTTGTGGATTACTGCTTTTCATTTTTAGATTAATTGAATGCCCCAGACTGATCATCACCTCGTCCATTAATCGTACCAGTTTGGGGCGTTAATCTCTAATCGCAGATTTAGGCTTTTAGCATGAACAACACCTCTAACATCGTTCTCTCTCTGACCTCTTCTCTCTCGACAGCGTTGCGGGCGGCTACCTGTACGTGACCATCGTCTACAACGTCTCCGTTAGCTTGTCTCTGTACGCCCTCTTCCTCTTTTACTTCTCCACCAAAGAGCTGCTCAGCCCGTACAGCCCCATGCTCAAGTTCCTCATGGTCAAGTCCGTCATCTTCCTCTCCTTCTGGCAGGGTAGGGGTAACCTCACAAGACGCAGCATGCTTTTTAAAAATGCTTTTTTTTTTAATCCTCACTAAGTACCTTTCTTATCATTTGTGGTCAGGCATGTTGCTGGCCATCCTGGAGAAGTGTGGGGCCATCCCCCAGATCAACTCGGTGGAGGTGTCTGTGGGCGAGGGGACGGTTGCCGCCGGCTATCAGAACTTCATCATTTGCATTGAGATGTTTTTCGCAGCGCTGGCTCTGCGCCACGCTTTCACGTACAAAGTCTACATGGACAAGAGTCTCGATTCACAAGGTGAGGAGGGGAAGAGGGACCCTTACAGTGTGACTTCCAACACCACAACAGAGTTCGCTGTTACTAAAGGAAACATCTAAATATTCTTAAATAGCCTTTTGTCTCTGTTTCATCTCCATCTGTTCCAATGTGTTTTTCTACTTCATCTCCCTTCTTTTGATCACACCTTGATTTTACCTCGTCCTCTTTATTCTTTTCTTTTCCATTCTTTTTTTACACTCTTTTCTTTCCTGTTTCTACACATCCATCTTTGTGTCTCTTTTCTTCTCTGCTGTGCACAAAGGACCCGTTCCTACATACGGAGAGTTTGGTAGGTTGAACACTGACGATGTTTACCCCCCCCCCCCCTTCCTTTTTGTTCATGCTGCTACTGTTTTTAGATAGTCCTGTCCTTCTGAGTTACTTTCTATTCAGTTGTTTTTTTGATTGTGATTTGGTTCTGTTGCTGTCTTTTCATTTTGTATCTTACTTCTTCCTCCTATTCCTAAACTGATCATCTTTTACTTTCCCCTTTCTATCCTGTGTCTTCCCTCCCCATCACTGTTTTCCTTTTCCCCTCTCCTCCCTCTAAATCACATCCACTGTTCTCTTACAATTCCTCCCTTTTTCCCCCTAATTTTTCTTTCACCCATGTCGTCCTTCTGTCCCGCTGTTTAACACCCTCTAAATCACCGACGCCCCGTTCTTCTGTCTTTTCCTCTCCCACCCTTCTCCTCTTCCACTAAATCACTTTTCGTCTCACTCTCCTCTGACTCTATTCTCTCTTCTTCTCCTCTCCCCCCTCCCCGTTTGATTTGCTCCCACATCTTTGCTTAAATCTCCATAAACCCCCCCCCCCCCCCCATTATGTTTTCCCCACTTTTATTTCTTTCCCTCCTTTCCTCCCTCTTCTTCCCGTTCACTCCTCTAAATCACTCCTACATCTTTTTGTTTCCTCTACCCTTCTCCTCTTATTTAAACCTCCTTTACTCTCTTTCTTTCTCCCGACCTCTAACTCTCTGGTGTCGTCCGTCTCCCTCAGGCCGCTGTGCCCCCATGAAGAGCATCTCCAGCAGCCTGAAGGAGACCATGAACCCAGGCGACATGGTGCAGGACGCCATCCACAACTTCTCCCCGGCCTACCAGCAGTACACCCAGCAGTCCACACTGGAGCAGGGGGCGCCGCCGCCCGTCTCCCGCACACACAGCGCTGTCGGCGGCCACGGGGACACGGAGAAGACCCTCCTGCTGAGCTCCGACGACGAATTCTAGAGCAGAACCAAATGTTTTTATGGCAGATGGTACTTAACCCTTCCCGTGCAGCCGGCCCGCTCGGACGTGTGAGTGATGAGAAAGGTGTGTGTTTGACATTTTTCTGTTTCTGAGACTGATTGCGGATGCGAGGACCTTCCTGCATAAACATTCATGTAGCCACATTTCTAGAGCGTCTTGGTGGAAACACTTTAAGCCGATTTTGGTGTTAACACAAACCTTTTTCATTTCCTGGCCAACTATTTTAAGTTTGGAAAGTTTGTGAGTCACAGTCTTACACACTGAGTCATACTTGACTTTAGGAATGAAAGTTTTCTGGCTCGGATGATTTCACATTTCAGCTCAGTCTTGTAGCAATGTAGTCGTCCTCATGGATTTAAATGTTTTTATTTTTCTGGATCTGTATTGCATTTTGAAGGCCCTGTTTTTTTCACATTGTCATCGGCTGTTTATCAAGCCATGAACATCCTTAAAGTTCAAGAAGAATATTTACTCAGCGTATGGAAGTAGAAAATATCATTAAAGTTTTAGTTTTATGAACTTTAAACTTGATATTAATTTGCAACAATTTAACAAATTAGTTGATTTGCAAATGCATTAATGTGCTTCAAACAGAAGCTGTTGTAAGTATCGTAGCAGTCTTGTGGTTCAGTCATTAAACAATATAACGGGGAACATATGTCTAGATAAAGTGTAAGAGAGCTGGCGGTACCCTGGTGCATTGTGGGATTTTAAGGGACGTCCTTGACTGTATTGCGGGGATGGATTTAAAGGGAAACGTAGTCAAAAACATGAGTTTATGTCAGTTGTATGGATGAACGTGGTGATTGATATTAGTGGGAGCAGATTATAGATTATACAGTACGTCTGCTGCAGGACTGAAGGATTACAGTCCACTGGTGTGATTTCAGTGGCTGGGATTAAAGCCGGTGCCTGTTCACTCAGGGAGAGGACCGCTGCAGACCACAATGTAGGTTAACTGGATTGAGGGATAAACACGAGAGGAATATAGGTTAAAAATAACTTGAGATGCTTGTTCTCTGTAGAGGAGCGCTGTCATAGGAATTAAACCTTTTTTCATATACGTACATGATTCCAAATATTTAAATCAAACTGAAATTAAAATGTTCTCACTTTAGTGTGAAAGGGATTAATAGAGCTATTGTACATCATTTTCTGTTATTCAAAAGATAACTCATTTTTGGACATTTGAGCAGACGACCAGGAACCAATCGGATTACCAGCAGTGATATCATCAGTCGCTACCCAAACTTTAAAATTCATGCCCCCTGGAGATCTCAACATTTTTCCTTTGAAAACTAGATGATTGATCAATTAAGTACTTGTGTTAAAAAACACACAAAAAACACACACACACGTTTATTTCTTAGCAAAAATGTATTTCTGTTTGACTCATTCTGACTGTTTTTTGAGTAGTTTAATGTCGAGATGATGTCTTTTCAAATATCTACCCATTTCACCACAGAGTGTTCCTGATTGGCTCCAAATACTTAAGCCAGACTAACATCCATCCAGATCGAGGGAGTTTTCTGCAGTGTAGTGACCGCTGTGTCAGACAGTCAGGTTTCAGTGTTGTATGCGTTTTGCTTGTAAGGACTTAAGTTTTTAGCTTAAAATATATTTTCTGCACATTTTACAGTTCTTATCCTGAGTTATGGTCAATTTGAAAGAAAAGAAAACTGCATATTAGCACAGTAATATGGGAAGATATATACCATGTTTATCACATTTTCATCTTATGCATTTACAATATAATCAATATTCTCTGTTAACAAAATACCATTTGTTTGACTTTGATGCTCTTCCAGTCTTTTCTTGTAACTTTTAACTTCCCCGCAGGCAGAGCTGGTTATTTTTATTTTCTTCTTACACAAAATTGAAGTCCTCGAGTCCTCTGAATGAGTCACACGGAGCGTGCCGCCGTGTTTACTGTACCCACTGTCACCGCTCTGCTGTAGCTCGGCATGAACACCAGGGGGCCGCGTAGAAAAGACACGGTCGCTCTTATCTGCGAGCAGACAGCCAGTTATCTCGCACGTTAAGCTTGACGCACATGTAACTGCTTTGTCTAAGCACCAGTCTGTCACTTCTTTTAATCCTCTCACCAGAGGAGAGAAGCCAGCCTCAGACAGTGGTCGTGGGTCTTTTTTCATTTTAAATTGTTCTGCTTCTGCCTGACATCATATTGGAATAGGACAGAAGCCACATCTGTGCACAGGAGCAGCGTGCTATTTTTAGACGGCGCTTAGTGTTGTCTGGATAATTAGGCTGCTACATTTTGACATGGATACACTGACTGAGCGTCATCCAGCTTCAGATGATCCGGTGTTTCTTTTACAAACTAATTTGGACACTTTGAGTGCATTAATTCATCCTCTTTCTCTGCTTGTTAAGATGTCCTGATGTTTATGAATCTAGCTGAAGAAATGCTGCAGATTAATGTTGTAAATAGCTTTAAGTGGCGTCTTCAGGAGGGACAGTGTGTTGAAATAGTCATACATGCTCCGCAGCTGGAGCGAGAAGAAAAAAATACCTAGTTTTGTATTTTTACTACGTGTCTTTTTTATTATTTTGATGACTTTTGGTTTCTAGTTTGTATATGATGAAGCTGCTCATGACGCTATTATTTCATGTCTAATGGAGAAGATATAATAAAAGATATTTAGTCTGGTATGTAAGATAACTGCTTGTTTGGTTTTTTTGTGGCCTCAGTAGGTAAACTGTTTAAAGATCCTCCTACACGGATACACTCTGCTTCAAATAACTTGTCTGAAAGTATTCTTCCATTAAAACAAGTCAAATACTAATAACTGGTTAACATTTCTAAAAATTGCATTTGCTTCTTCTCCCTCATTGAAAAATCCAGAATATGATTGTGTTTAGATTAGTTTAACCACTGAAATTCACTTTTTCAGTATGTGTCACTGGGTCGGACTAAATAAGGATGGTTCACAGCCTAAAGATTTAATTTCTACATAACAAAACTCTACTCTTTAGAAACAAACAAACCGGGCCCATGCTTGTTTTGAAGGCCAAAGCATTTTGGATGAGTGCACTTCCACGATTCACCCACCAGCAGGAGACAGGCCGGGTTCTCACAAAGAAGGTTTAGGAAGCTGTTCCAGACGGGAGGAAGGAAGGCCGTGTGCAAAAGCTCCTCCACCGCGTGCACGTGAACACAGACAGCTGGAGTCAACTCAACAATGAGACGTTGGGCGAGCCATTAGCGGCTTTAAAAGGCCCCGGAGCACAGCGTGTGACCACAAAACAGCACCGGTAAAACATAATTGATGGTTATTAAGTGGTTTATTTTCTCTGGCTGCAGGTGAGTTTTGGTTGTAGAGTGACTAAAGGCAAACTAAACTACTGCTTCATAATGACGTTGTGTGGGCAGCAAAATCGCCAATGTTGGCGTCTTTTTGCTGAGTGCTGCTGTAGTTGCTTGGTGAGTCAACATTATTTTGCATTGTACAGCGGGCAACGTGACGATGCATGCAAGTGTATCTGAACATAATTTACAGATATATTTTGAAATGGGTCATTAAAAGGGAGAAATGACACTGCTCACATTTAAAAAAAATGCCATGTAAGCACTTACAGCCTCACTAAAGTTCATTCAAAAACTCTTGTTTCTACTTTTAACCTCGAGTTTATCTTCTGATCCAGAGCGATAACTTCAACATCCTGTGGATCCCCTTCCCTTTCAACCCACAACCACACCATGTTATGTACAATATGTACAACATTTATTATAATTAATATATAAAATAGACAATGTACTTAAATTTTCACAATAGAAAAAATACAAGTAATAAATACAAAAAAAAACGTTTTTTTTGTTTTGCAAGTATTACAAAACATCCAGCACAGTTTGACAGATGTGAGACGTTAAAATATTGGGAATAAATGCTTTTTTTTGCCACACCGATATTCATATAGCTAAATATATGCCTCATATCTTGGTCAACACAGTGTGTTGTGTTACGACGCCTGCTTATAAATGATATTGCGAGCACTATTCAGTGGCCTGGACTCCACGACGGCCGAGCCTGTTGGAGCACACCGTGGCTGAAACTGCTCGACTGATGGAGGTTTTCAAGTGAATAACGCGCCACCTCTCTCAACCTTCTTCCCCAGTCCGCCATGGCTACTTTCTTTCTCCATCGTTCCAACGACTCCTCTACCCTTCCTCTCTCCTCCTCGTCTCCACCTTTCTTTCCACATTTCCTTTAACATCCTGTGGATCTGCCCAACCAGCCAAATACAGAAGTGACCTTAATTTTTCACACAAATAAACAAACAAAAATCATCATAGAAAAATAATATCCCTCCAAGAATCCACTATGACAAGCCAAGTACAAACATGGCGAGAACACGCACGCACGCACAAAAAATAAAAATCATCATACAGCAATATGGCCATTGGCTTTGAGCATATTTCTACATAGCTAATAATTAACATTTTGTAAAGTAATCATCGTTGCCACACAACACAATAATTAGACGTGAGAATATCCCCGGACTAGTCATAAGTAAGTACTTCTGAACACACAGAACATCACAGCACTCGTTAGCTTGTCTTTTCATAACATCTACCTTTAAATACAAATAAAATATAGAATATATCTCTGATAAATGTCACTCAACATTTTCGTCTCTCAACAGCACGTACAAACATTACAAATAAGAACACAAGACGGGAATGTATGCGGAGGATTCGCATCGGCTTGAGCGTAATTCCTACCAGATGCGACTCCGCTATTACACGTTTGTAGCAAAAAAAAACAAAATGACCAACATCTGTTGGGAGTCTACCAGATATGAAAAAAAAAAAAAAAGAGCAGACCGTAGCAAATTTACTGCACAGTGGAGATTGCGAAATGAGCAATGAGGGATTAGAGCTCAGAAATTCAGAGAAAGCCCAAATAAAGAAATGTGCGGTCGACAATGAGCGATTACAGTCTTGTTTTCACCCTTTCCCCTCTTAGGTTTGCATTCTCCTCACTCCCACATACACTGAAGGCACTGCGTTAATGTGAGGAACGTGTACACGAGCAGTACAAAACTACTTTCGTAGAACAGGTAGGAAGTCGCGGCGGATGCATCCAAAAAAAGAAACGTCACCGAAACCAACGGGAAGGAATTCATGACTCACAGATTCGGTGTTTTCTCAACCTTGTTCTGAACCGTGTGGCCAATTTTGCTTTCGAAACCCATATGACCCGAACAGTTGTTAGTTTTCTCCCGTGACCCCCCCCGCTCCCACCTGCACGTCAAGTGACACCGAGGTTGGGAGACTCTGCATTAATGACCAACAGAAGAGAATGAATCAGACGTTGGGACATTTTCTTGCACAGTAGCAGAGACAGACGGAGAGGCCTGGGCTGGTACGAGGAAACAGCTAGTAGCTTCAGACTGTTAACTGCACCAGGAATGCGAGCCGTAGAGCTGGAGGAAGCTGCACATGCGTCCGCTCCACGCTGGCGTTTTTTTTTTGCTGTCGGTCGGGTGCCGTGACAAGCGGCGGGAGCGCGATCAAAGAGACGTCAGCGTCGGAGCTGGATATGCTGAGCAGGGAACATGTACAGTAACGGTGGTTTGTGTCGGTCTGGCTTCAGTCAGAGTCCAGTTAGTCAATGTCTACGCCCCGTGTGGACCAGGGACTGAGTGTGAGGGTTTTTTGTGCGGGTATGTGTGTGTTGACTGTGTGAGTGCATCGGTGCTCGACGCCTCGTTCACATTAAACCGGCTGCATCTTTCTGAACAAATGCTCTGAAGTAAATGTCGGCCAACTAAGCCGCAGTGTCCTAAACCAGCATGAGTGCAGGACACCTCGAAGCCTTTGCTTTGGAAAACTACACACGGCCGCTGTTTGTCCGGTGACGTCACACTCGGCTCCGTCATGCAGGGACGAATGACTCCTGCTTACGTAAGTCCTATGGAATTTAAAAATGTGAACGAGGCGCAACGCAGACAAGTGCTTAGTATTTTCCTACTAAAGTCGTTTTCCTGTTCTTCGGCGTGTGTGTGTGTGTATATATATATATATATATATATATATATATGCCTGTGTGTGTGTTTGTTTGCATTGCAGGTTGTGCGTCCCCCCCCCCTTCCCCCTTCCCCTCCCCCCAGTCCAGCAGCTCCTTCTAGGATGGCTCCTGATCTCTCTGTGGCTGAGGCTGTGGCGGACTCTTCACGATGGTGATGACCGAAGCGGTATTGAGACGCGGGGCAGTGGCCAGCAGGTTGCCCCCCCCAGCCTCCAGGCCCCGGGCGAACCTCTGGAGGGCGGCCAGTCGCGCGCCGAGCCCCTCCAGCTCTTTCCTCATGCCGGCGTTCTCCGCCCCGAGCCTCTCCACCTCCCTCTGGAGCTCCGTCTTCTGCAGCTCCAGGGCCTCACGCTGGGACACGCGCTTCACTCGGCAGCTGGCGGCGTAGCCCCGGTTCTTCAGGGTGCGCCGGCGCTGCTTCAGCTTCTGGATCTCGTCGCGGGACATGCCACGCAGATGCAGGTTCAACTCTCGCACCGTGAGGGACATGAGCTCGTTGTCCGACAGGACGGGAACGTTCTCGCCGCACTCCTGCTTCACCTGGAGAGAAAAAGAGTGACGGTGGAGAAGGAAGATGAAGACAAAAATACGACCAATGGCGTTAAAGAATAACTGACAAGAAGGAGACCAAAACTTCTTTTCAAATTAGACAGTCAAAGGCTATCACATGACTGATTGAGTTTTACCTTCAGGGCTTTGCTGCTTCTTTCTGATGTCATGATCCGACTGTCTTCGGCCTCTCCAAAACACCAGTCAACACAGATACGGACACTCTGAAAGAACAGAAACAGGACACACACACACAAAAAAATAAGTATGTTGTGACATGTGACTCTTGCGAATCATGCCATTTTGGTTCAGATCTGGCCTGACATTCACCATCCGCTCACAAGACAGCCAGTCACGCACGATAAAGAAAAAGGAGAACCCGCAGATCTTTCATGCTTCTCCAAACTGCTGCTCTTTCATTAAACCCTGTGGTTTGATATTAAAAGGAAGAGGAGGTTTTGAAAGCGACGCGCCGGCCTCGGTTAGCTGGAATGGCGAGGAGGAAGTTCTCGTGCGTCTGCCCTTTCGGTTGCTCAAAGCAGGTGTCCTAACCAATCCCCTCAACACTTCCTCTTGTCAACACAACGCCAACGGTTCAAAGCTTTCATTGTCACGTCTATTCCTCACCGCTACAAGAGACATTTAAGTGAAATGGAACACAACATTACAATGACCACTAAAATAGAAAACCGCTGAAACTTTTCTATAATGCTTTTCCCTTTAAACTTCTAAATCATAATAAAAATAGGAACCTAGACACCGAGATCGGGTAAGTTTGCACACACTTTAATTGCTGCTTCCAGTACCAACCTGTAACAGCAGCAGTGAGAGTTTGTTTAAGTGCGTTTGGAAATGATCTCCCGTTATTCTTACTGAACGCTTGACACAGACTGCGCGGGGACTTCCTACACTCGTCTTAAGGTCAGCTCGCGAATGTTGTGTGGGATTAAAGTCCAACATCTAGCTGGGCCAGCCTTCTTGACTTCTTCTGTGTGTTTTAGATCGCTGTCATGCTGACATAAAAAAAAATGACTGCGCTTAAACTTGATGCCGTTTTAGCTATTTGCCAATTTCACCTCCATTGACCACATGCTGTCTGTTGACGAGGGGCTACAGTGTGTTGACTGTGTTTAGCAAAGACATCTTCTGACATTGGCATTTAATTAAGTTTTACTTTGACATCATCAAACCACAGGGTTTTTCCCCACATGGCTTCGGGAGAGTGAAAGTGTGATACAGTGTACTTTCACATGTATTGCAACAGTGGGTTTTCTTCTTGACTGGGCTTTCAGTGAGTCTCTTTGTAGCCCAGAAGTGTAGAAATATATATATATATATATATATTCTTTTTAACATGCATGGTTGCATGAGACTGGGTATGCATGGAGTGGTTGCTTTCAGGGTGCTGAGTAGCTTTTTGACAGCTTCACTATTGAGCTAACTCCTTATTCTTTGACAAACAGACTGATCAAGATCACGCTGCAGCTGGAATTAACTTCTTGATTATCGTCTTCGCCGGGTACCAGTGTGTTATATGATCTCTCTCACCTTTCTTTAAATGTATCTTTCCTTTTGTACATATATCAACAACATAATCTGCGGTCAGGCCCTTTGTTTTAAAAGTGGTGTGTGGCAGAGGTTTTGGGGAAATCCCTGCGTGAATCTGTGAATTTTTAGAAACCTTTTAGTGTGAATTATTTAGGACAATTCCAAGTAAACAGATCTTCTCCTTGCTTTCGAATGCGATGCGCTGACTTTCATTACAACCACGACCCGTTATACAGAAGGATATTACACTTCTATAAACTAATTAAAGGCCTTTTTGTTTAAGGAATCAAAATGAAATCTAAAAAGGTAAACACGTGTGTAGAGAGAGCAGCACACATTCCAGTGGATGTAAAGAGAAGGCTTGATGTGTGCCGCTCTCCAGCAACATGTCAGAAAACAAACTGGACTCCCAGCAAGGCAACCATGCTGCCAGGCAGGAGGGAGGAAACGCAAAAGAAGTCATTAAAGTTAGCCACATTTCGTTAGTTTCATTTTTACGGCCCCCGAGCTCAGTTTCAAAAATCCAATTTCCGTAAAAACTTGACTTCATAATAGTAGAATTGGGCGTTAACGGTACATGTAGGCCTTAAACTCGTGTACGGTAGGTGTTGCTCCATATACAAGACGCTATGGCCTATAGTTTGCTGACATTTGACTGCATTTCCCGACATGCGTGGGATGTGGAGGTTGCAGGAATAGCGGTTGTCCGACCAGCCCGGCTGTAAACCCATGAGACCGCCGTTTCGTGAAGTCAGGGTGATTCAGCAATAAAGCGTTCAGCTCAGCTCCTCAAAGACCGCCAGTCAGCCCAAACACAGAAAACACAGCTGCGACCACGTCTCTCTGTATTTGCCTGAACAAGCACAGCATGTCCACGATGGCACCTCACTATAAATATCACTTAAGACGACGTACTTTTCGGCTCCCAAAGTGGTACGCAACAAGTGAAACGCAGCGCTGCCAAAGCTACAACTAACGCTAGTTAGCGGGGTTTGTAAAGTAAAACACCCTCGTATATATCCAATTTGAATTCAAAATGACTGCAAAAACAAAATAGCGAACAGAGACCACCCCTGGAAATATGTATCTAGCTAAGCTACATCCAGAATCCACCCGTATCCTTATACGGAGAGGAGCTGGCCAGCTTGCGGTGAAGGCGCTGCTGCTATATAGTAAACAGCCATCACGAGTGCCCTCGACATCCATTTTAGTAAGACTTTAAATAATACATTTAGATTGTTTTAAAACGTACAGTTACAAAGAAGGAAGTGGGGCCATCATTTGGCTGTCAGATGTTACAAGTATAGAGGCTTAAATATGAAGCGCGGGGCCAAATTACGAGCATCATCTTAAACATGCTAGTAATGTTAACTGTTAGCACCTAGCATCGGCGGCTTCTGACGAGCTAACCTAAAGGAGATTAAAGCAAACAGCTGCCTGCTCACTTGTCCTTGGTTGGTTGGCCAGTCCCCGGCGGAAAGAAGTCGTCTAGTGTTTGTCTATCGCCATCATATTCCAGCGGAATATTTTAACGTTTAATATTTAGTAAAATAATATAATTTACCTGCTGGGTCGACGCGACGCTGGCGACAAAATGTCAGTCCGCCTTTTCCCGGAATTACTCCGCTGCTCTCTGAGGTTGGATTCTTTCATTCACAAAAAACACAAGCGACCATGACGTCAGGTCTAAAGAATGAGGGCGGGGCCAACTCCGCCCCCGCGGCGTACTCCGGGAGGATGTAAACAAGGAATCCCTTCGTCCCAGAACTTTTCCATGACCAGGCCCCCTTTCGCTGTTCCAAGCAACAACAACTCTTCTGAAAAAAAGGCAAAAACACTGGGAAAGTATTGAGAGTCACCCTTTGCTGACACAAGCAGTAGAAGCTATACAATGGGGAAGTTAAAAATCAGGCAGAATCCAAAAACAAAAACAAGTACTAAAGATAAAACACACACTACCCACAAACACATGTGTACTCATAGTTTACAGTTTGGCATTTCATGAAAAGTGCATTTATAGGAGATTAGATTTCCCTGCTGCATGACAGACAACCAGTAGAGGTGGTCCATTATGTGTTTGTTTTTCTAACTAAGGAATTATTATTAATTATTCAGGATTATAGCGCTGGGACTATTTTATTATATTTAGTTACACGTTATATAGGGATATTTATGTTTCCCGTAACCTTGTGTAGCTGCCAATAAAAAAATATATAAATAAAAATACATAGAAGACAAAGCATGTATCACAAATAGCCTAATTCAGAATATGCTCAATTGAAGTAGATATATATAAATGTATTTTTAATGTTTTAATGCACCTGTAGTTGCAAATGTGTGTTAAACATTGGGATTAGGAGCAACGGTTCTACTCTGACCTATATTGTACATATTCTGAGAAAAATACCATTCATTGGTTTGTCCGATGTGGCTGAGTAGCCTGCATTTGAGCTGAGTGAATATTATTGTTATATTTCCTGACTGTTTTCCAGCACCACTAATATGCAAAACAGTGGCAACTTTGGTCACATCAAACATAAAATAGACAATATAACAATATCCATAATGTGATAACCCTTCTCGCTATGTTGTGCTTAATAATCGTTTTAACAATGTACTAGTGTTCCAACGCTTCGTTCATGTTGGGTGTTATAAGTATAGTGCTCTAAAAAGGCTTATTTATTGTTCCAACAAAATACAGGTGTTTTATAATATAACAATCTATATTACTTACATTTTTGAAAGAATGCATTTATATCTAAAACAAGCTGTTCAAAACTCAGGTTGATTTATCTTTTAATGACTACTTGGGAAGCCCTGGACTCACTGCTAGACAAAACAAGCATTCTTCACATACACTGCAGGCTGCTGTCGGACAGCCTCAACGACAGGGGGCGCTGTTTGTTTCTAGATGAAGTACAAACTGACCCCTAACCTGCTGTCGTAACGCGTCCCTGGCAAACCTCACGTTTTCCCACTGTGACCTCGGACTGTCGTTGAACAGATGCACGCCTCCTAGCATTTAGCTTCGATGAAAACCTGGTGGAAGTCATCCGAAACACACTGAACGGACTGTCGGCTTCACGGTGTTTTCTAGCGACTTTTCCCCGCCGTGCGCAAAGCTGATCCAGGCCGACAGAGAGGAGCGGGCTAGCAGGAGACATGGCCGCGATCGAGGAGCTTTCCCCCGCTGCGGGCCCGGTGTCCACCCGGCCCCCCGAGGACGAGATTGACGACGACGAAGATGAAGATGTTAGTGGCTAGTCATTCTGTGGTATTTTGGAAATGCGAATGGATAAAAAAAACATAGAGTCGCTCTGTTCTTTCTGGGCTAAGTATGGCTAGCTAACACGGATATACCAATGCTAATTAGGTAGCACCTGGGGTGATCTGGCTGTGACAAACCCTGTACGAGTCCATGGTCTGTTGCAAGCTTATTGCTATAGCAATTGTGAAATAGTTAAAACATTGTTTGATCGAACTATCACTGATTTCACTCATGTCATGGCAGTGGAAACATAATGTATCGGTGTTAACATCAGCCAAACCAACCTGTAACAAACTTCAGTATGGACCATATAGTGGGGAAAAAAACTATATTTAGATTTTGGATGTATTTTTTCTTCATGCCTTTATTCATATGAGATGCTGCTTGAGTGCTTACTCAGTCTTTTTGTATCACAAGTGTCATGTCTGACGTTTGTCTCCTTCAGCTGGACGAGACACTGATGGAGAGGTTGTGGGGCCTGACCGAGATGTTCCCCAACACAGTTCGCACTGCTGCTGAAGTGTCTGCACTCTGCTCTGTCTCACTGGCCAAGAAGTTTTACAGGTAGACCTGAAGTCTCACTTTTTGTCAATGCAGAAATTTATACAGAGTGTTACAGTAGCACAGTGGATCAAGAGATTAACTACTAATTCATAGGCCTGATCCCAGCAGCAGCCAGTGGTCCTGTCTTTGTTTTCTGAAGTTAGACTCGCATCTTACCAAACAGTTACGCATTGTAAATCACTGGATTTTAGAAAACAGAAGTCCTTCGTCCATACCTTGGACTGGCACATCTTAAAAATCAGAAACTAATCCGTTTTTAAACTTGTTTCAGTTTTTCCCGCTCGGCGCTCTGGGTCGGTACTACCTCCTTCATGATCTTGGTGCTGCCTGTTGTGTTCGAGACAGAAAGACTACAGCTGGAGCAGCAGCAGATACAACAGCAGAGACAGGTGAGCGTTCCTGTGCATGTACGATAACCAGTAGCCAAGAGACAGCCACAAACACTTACGGTTTTACAGGAAGCAAGCGTTAACGCCGAGGACTGGACGCAGTATGAACCAGGGATTTGCAAATTCTAATATGTTAATGTGCTGTTTGAGTACACCGGTGAGCAACCTGAACGATCGACTCTTTCGCTTCCAGATCCTGTTGGGGCCCAACACTGGAATGTCTGGCGGGATGCCGGGCATGATGCCTCCTGCACCTGGCAAGATGTGAGACACGGAAAGGGGCTGACATGAACCTGAGATCTGCTGCTCAGCGATACAGCTGGGGGAGGCCGGTCGCAAGGAGAGACAGAGAGACTGTGGAGAAGGGCAAAGAACTGCAGTTTAGAGAAAAGAGAAGCAAAAGCTGGATGTCAGCAGCATGAAAGTCACACTCCAAACATATTGGATTGGAAGGAGGATGTGATGCGTTTCTGACACTTCTCTCTCACTGTCTCTCCTTACTCCAACATCATGCAGAGACTTATTTCCAGGAGCACTGCTTCTGTTTTCTTTTTCATTTTTTAAATAAATCAACATGAATAATTTGTTATTTAGGGGATAGCAGGTATAAGTGGATAAATTGAAAGCAAAAAGGTTACCAACCATATGTCTCGGTGTTTGCAGCCTGAAGAACATGTATGCTATACTTACAGTATTTTAGCAGTTTTGTTCATCGTCATCTAACGGGACAGGTCTGATGCATTGTGAACCACACTGTAAACGCTATTAATAGACACGTGGTCTACAGGATGGCCTCTTGAAGTTCGACAAGATAAATATCACTCTTTTCTATGTGGCCCATTCCTATGTGTACATTTGTCACATGTCACAGTTCAAATGTAGACTATCTACAGTGTGTATGGAGGAGTGCAATGTCTCTCACTTCAGTTATTGGATTGATTGCATTGCTCTAATTTTAAGCAACAGATTGTATAATGCAGCAACACCAGATTCCATGGTGTTAAATTATTCAAAGATTGTTGGGTCCTTTTCTCTTGATAGTGTGTGTGAAGAGTGAAATTATATTGTCATTGAAGACGGGACACATGTCATATGGTTTTGGACAAATATCATAGTGGTTGAAGGAAAACGTATGCTAAATATTTCAATATCGTTCTGACATGTCCAGTCTGCGTTATGTTATTTTCTGTTCTCTTTTGACATCCATGTGAATTTACAATCTCTCTCCTCTTTTCAGTAAGCAAACACATGTCTCTGTTTTCTGTTCAACATGATTGCAGTAATTAAAACACCAAATCAAAAGGAAAGTTAAGTGTTTACTTTCAGCACGTTTGTTTTGTGTCGTCAAACAGCATTAAGTAGGGATTTATGAATGACAGACCAGGCCAAGTTATATTATTAAAGATGTTAACAAATAATTCATTCAAGTTTTCTAATATCAAAATGAGGGTAAAGGAGTGTAAGATTATTTTTCACTGAATGCTTATGATTTTTTTTCAAATTGTAGATATTTTATGTCAAATATAGGTATTCAAATGCCTTATACATCTTTTGACAGCAGACATTTTTACTTTTCATAGCAGGAAAAGCACATGCGCAATCATGACATTAATTATTGTGATTACCTAAGAGCTGGAACCTGAGCAACTAAATATAATGCAGCCGTAATTTATGTTATTATGAAAACGTGTGCTTGTCCTGCTGTGGCATATCAACATGTCTGCAGTGAAATTGTTCCATTATTGTAGTCACGATGCTTAAGATGTTACTATTGTGACATGCTTACAACTATGCCCGGTCCCCATGGCCTTATAGACACCCTAAAATAATAATCAATAATTTTCAGAATGCAGCACATGCATTTTCAAACACTATAAAGAGTAGAAAATACAGAATATCTCTGCACACATTTTTTTAAAGCCTTTGTCCAATGCTGCATTCATTGCTCTTTTTCAGCCCATAGTCTTTTGAGTGATAATGGGAATGTGTTCTCTTTTGGCTCAGATCAGTAACTAATGAGCATTTTTGAAAATCACTATAACTTATAAACACTTTAAAATGAGTTATGAAGTTGTTCAGGTTCCCATTTAAAAGCAATAATTGTTGGCAATGATGCATCCATAGTTTATGTTCGTTCAATTGATAAGTTTATAATTTCCGACTGCACTTGAACAGACTAAAATCGCGAATTCCCGCCAGTTGTCTCACGCGACCTCCTTCAAGAGCCAAAGAGCACTCTGCCTTTTAACTTGAGATAGTATTTTTTTAGTCAGTATCTCTTGTCGTGTTGTTGCTAACGTTATTTAACAAGAATATATCCTAGTTGTGATAGTTTTACTGACAGTCTTGTTGATGTTGTGAGCAGCTGATAGACAAGAGTAACAGCTAATTAGCTATTAATAGCTAGCGTTAGCATTTACACAGACAGGTTAGCATTAGCTACATTAATTTAGCTGACCCAGGCTAAAGATACTTGCTGATTGACAGCAACTGAATCAGCCAAAATCCATTTTATCTTCAACGTTTAACCCATACTACATTGAAAATGAAAGCTGCAGAGGATCAGGTTGTTGATGAGGATACTAGTTTTCAGGATGATGAGGTAAGATAATGTAGTATAGCATTTAATTTATCTGGCCTTCCCTGACTAGAAAAATCCCCCACATCTGTCAAACATTTGAAATGACCAAACTGACCAGAATCAATTTATATTCATATATATATATATATTTTTTATTTATTCATAACAATAATTTAGGTAAAAACACTGTATGACAACAGTGTGACAGTCTAATTAAGAAAAATGTAAGTTATATTACAAATGTTTTTTTATGGTAAACCGTCCCAATAATGAAGTTTACTTCTCAGCGACTAACTCATGTAGATTTTCTTTGTCTTCAAACCTAACAGGAAACCTTCTTCCAAGACATTGACCTCCTACAGAAACATGGGATAGTGAGTATACAGCAGGGCTGAGTCAGTTTCCCATCAGATCAAAAGTCAGTTGTCTTTGTCAATATGTCTCTGTCCTTCCAACCTGTGACCACAGAATGTGGCAGACATCAAGAAGATGAAGTTAGTGGGTATCTGCACAGTGAAGGGGATCCAGATGACGACTAAGAAGGCTCTGTGCAACATCAAGGGCCTGTCAGAGGCAAAAGTGGAGAAGATCAAGGAGGCTGCTGGGAAAATGCTGGTAAAACGGGATTTTCTACTTGTGAATTTAATGTCATTCTTCAACCTGGACCACGTTATTCTGGTGGCCTTAAGACTGAATTACTTGAGACTATTTTTTTGTATTAGATCATTTTCTTTACATTGTAGAATGTTGGTTTCCAGACCGCCTTTGAGTACAGTGCAAAGAGGAAGCAGGTGTTCCACGTCACAACCGGGAGCCAGGAGTTTGAGTTAAGATTTACTCTTAACGTTGATAACAAGTAGACTCTAGGATTTACACTGCTGAACATATTAAGTGTTTGTTTGTATTTTAAGAATTCACAATTACATATACCATATACTCAAGGTGGGAGGTATAGTGATTCAATACACAGAATCTTCCGGGACTCAAATTGATTAAATGTGCCTCATCATGGTCTTAATTAGTTAATTTATATGATTTTTGTAATTTGTTACACAAAATCAATTTGCTGGGTTATTTAATCCACATAACGAATGATTTTTTTATTATTTTTTACATTTTTAACATTAGGGGGAAACAATTCAACTTTACCAGATACACTTAAAAATGACGTTTGGTTTTACTGTAATATGTATTTGGCTGGTATGGTAAAGTTTTTCACATTGGGATTAACCAGCAGATGCTGTGCCTCGGTGGATAGAAACTTTTAAGTTAGTTTCTCTGACTGTGAATCTGTTAAAATATTCCTGATTGTAAGTAAACCTTTCATCTCTCCAGTAAACTCTTAGGTGGAGGTGTAGAGAGTATGGCTATCACGGAGGCCTTTGGAGGTGAGGAGATGTCTTCCTACCGCTAAATATACTGTGTATGCTTATATTGTTTTAACATCACTCAGTTTTCTGCACTGGCTCAAAACTATCACGACACTATTTCATCCCACAGAGTTCCGCACAGGGAAAACCCAGCTGTCTCACACATTCTGTGGTAAGTTAGGAGCCTTTTTTGAAAATGGCTGCCTCAAAGTGAAAGATAAAACAACACCGTGCAAGTCAAATAAAACAGATGTTGTTTTGTCCAGTCACTGCTCAGCTGCCAGGCGAGGATGGCTACCCGGGCGGGAAAGTCATCTTCATTGACACAGAGAACACCTTGTATCCTCGTAACGATTGGAACAACCGTACGGCGTGTGTGCTGTGCACTTTGGTTGGTGTTTCAATCGACCGTCTCCCTTCACTGACGTATCGTGTGTTTATTTGTTGTCCCAGGAAGAACCCTGGCTATAGATAGCGCTGCATTGCCCCATACATATCATCCTACCACCTGCTGATTTAGAAAACATGTTTATGAGAGATGTTGCTCCAGAAGTCGTCCTAATGTGACGATACAATGACCGTTCATGTGTGTATCAGTAGGTTTTCTTCTCGTTGTTCTGTGTCACTTCATCCTTCACTAGCACCTTGACTCTGGTCCAAGTCGTCCGGACCGACTGAAAGACATCGCCGACAGGTTTAATGTGGACCACGGTGCTGTGCTGGACAATGTGCTTTACGCCCGGGCCTATACCAGTACGAACACACTTTCCTTTAGACCAGAGAACTTTTGGACACATTTGTGGTGTGCAAAGGAAATTCAACTTTTCTTCTTTTTTCTTCTCAGGTGAACACCAGATGGAGCTGTTGGACTTTGTAGCTGCCAAATTCCACGAGGAAGGAGGAGTCTTCAAACTTTTGGTGAGGATCGGAATGGACTCAAGGAACTTATTCACATATTCATCATGTTTATGGTTGTACTTCCCCCTCTCTATTTATGTAATGCTCTGTGAAGCTAAGCATGAATTCCTCCCTGTTGTCAGATCATCGACTCCATCATGGCTCTGTTCAGAGTAGACTTCTCTGGTCGAGGCGAGCTGGCTGAGCGGCAGCAGAAACTGGCCCAGATGCTCTCCAGGCTGCAGAAGATCTCTGAAGGTCTGAACCAGGAGTGTGCTCTCACAAACATCCACCATATATATAATAACTGGCATGTACAGCGAATATCTGCAGAAATGCATGAAGGAGTAATGTTCCAAATAATGACAAACGTTTTAGGATTTTGCCCATGTCTGGTTTTCATTTATGTTTTTCTTAGAGTACAACGTAGCAGTGTTCATCACCAACCAAATGACAGCTGATCCCGGTGCAGGAATGACGTAAGAGTCCTTCTGAATAAATCCGACACGTTTTGTGTTTGTAATTCTGTTTCCTGTCATTGTTTAAAGCTTTAATTTGATGTTTTTTTCGTCTGCCCTCGTTTTAGGTTTCAAGCTGATCCCAAGAAGCCGATTGGTGGGCATATCCTGGCCCATGCCTCCACCACACGGATCAGCTTGAGGAAAGGGCGTGCAGAGATGAGAATTGCCAAAATATTTGACAGGTAGTTGGCTGTTTTGTTTTGGGGAATGCAGGATTTTTTTTTTTGGATTCAGTCAATTATGATGCACAGCACATTGTTATGTTAAAGGTTCAGCTGACTTTATCGTCTGCCATGAGAGAAAAGTGTCTCGCAGACAAGACATCACAATAAAACATTAAATAAGAACACGTGCAAACACCAGCCTGAGATCAGAACAACCAGCCAATGAATCACAAGCCATTCACTGTGAAGAGCTATTAAACATGCACACTTCAGTACATAAATCTCATGCAAACGAACACATCTCATTTAACATGTTCACAAGAAAACCCACAATCTGTAAACTGCAAAAGAAAACAAACCAATTAGTACGTTTTCTCCCGTAACAATTTTATTAAATACTTGAGCATGTGTGCTGCAAATTACAGTTGAGGTTTCACTTCCTCTTACCATGATGTCAGATGACACATGTGATTTTCCGTACCCTGATAGATGGTGTGATATCACAACTAGGTCTTCTGAATATCATCAAGCTCAAGGCCTTGGACTTTGTTTAACATCGTGTTAACATTGCTTTTTGTGTGTCCTAAAGTAATATCCCACCCCAAAACTTATCTTATGATTTGAGTATTAAACACTATTTTCAACATGAGCCTATCTTTGTACCTGCTCATTATCAGCATAGTCCTAATATGAAAATGTATCTTTAAACACACCTTTGGTGGTTCTAGTGTGGTCTGAGTAAATTAAAAGGGGATGCTTAGACTTGATTGTTAAGGGCTTTAACCTGGTCTGAGAAATGAACTCAGACCTCAGTTTTATTTGCACAGTGAAAATATTTTGGAGTCACATTTGCTCTCTCTCCTTCTTGATATCCTCCAGTCCCGATATGCCTGAGAATGAGGCCACTTTTGCCATCTGTGCCGGAGGAGTTGGTGATGCCAAAGAGTGAAGAATAAAAGGAGAAGCGTGTTGAAATAGTCCTCTGTTACCATCAGTTTAAAGTTATTTCACGTATTTTTAATGGATTTATTTATTGAGTTTCAGAACATTTATATAATATATTAACTTCTTAAAGTTACACTGACAATCTTGTACCATGGTACTTTTGATGTATTTATTCTACACTTTGTTGTATTTTTCCTGTGTTTTGATGTCGGAATAAACACCAAAAAAAGACAAGACTCTGTTATGCACTTTTTTTTAATAGTATATAGTTCCTGAGATCGCTCAAATTACCGACAGAGATAAGAATGTGAAGTTAGCGGTAACGTGACGGTACAGTGAGCAGAAGTCCGGTGCTGGCCTCTCGCGGTGTTTGCAGGGCGTGCAGCGGCTGTACGCCACTTCTCGTCGGCTACGGGATCCATATGCTTGCGAAAGCAAGGCTTAACAAAGCGATGGCAACTTCACCAAATGTGCAGCTAAGAGTCTAAAACACACCGGCAACTCAACACGTCTTCACGGAACTCTAAAGAACCACCCACCTCCCCGGTAGCGGAAAGCTTGTCAACTCCGGTGAAAGGAGCGATGGACCCGAGAGACACAGCCCCGGATTCGTGGGAGCTAGAGGAGGATGCCGAGGCCCCGGCTGCCGCGGCGGAGCTCCCGGCCGCCTTCGCTGCTCTCAACGTGAACGCCAAGCCCTTTGTACCCAACATCAACGCCCCGGCGTTCATACCGACCGTGTTTCAAGCCAGCGCCGTGGAAATTCCGGCTTCAGACGGTGAGAGAACGGCCCGACAAGCTGGCTGGAAGTTAGCTTAGCTCGCTTGCTAATCCAGCTACGTTAGCATTCCTCTGTGCTCGGACCAGACACGGTGCCACAGTTATCGCGTATACGCTAACTAATCAACAAGTCGGCTCGAGTATTAGTCGTGTGTTATAGTGGCGCAATAGCTGCTTTATAACTCAGTAACAGCCGCAAACAAGACGTCAAACCTGTGAACACGCTGTGTCAAATGAATATTTATGAAAGTTTGACATGCTTTGCTTTCTCACTTCAAAGGTGCCCCGGATCCAGTTGCCAGCATGGAGGTGGCAGAAACAGCAGGTACGCACGAGTCACAGTGGTGTTAAGGTTATCACGTTACTGATCAGGTTACGGGCTCAGGTGTGTGCATTTACCTCCAGCCAGATTTGACAATCTCACACCAGACCTCGTGCAGACTGGGAGAACAAGTATGCTCGTAACTTGTAAGTTCACTTACTGAGCCATATTTGGCAGAGGTAATCCTATGTGCGCGAGGCCTAGTATAATATGATGCAACCTAACTTGTCCCTGCTCGAAATAGACATACCATTGGCCCATAGTGGTGTGTGTGTGTGTGTGTGTGTGTGTGTGTGTGTGTGTGTGAGGCCTGCTGTTTGTCAGACCAACTTTAATATATTCCACCACTTTGTGCTGCCTAGTTTTAATTTGCCTGAGTCAGGCAAAGTCAGATGCGGTGGGCCTCTACTCGAGTTACAGAAAAGCCAGTGGTGCTTTTGTTTTGAGTGGCTGAGCACCGCAGCTGTAGCAGAGTGAGTGACACAAGATCAGGTGTAGTGTACATAAGAGGCAGACAGTGAGTGACCTTTCCCACAGGCATGTTCACAGAGATGCTTGTTCTAATACCTCGTTGGATTCATGTCTGAATTATAATCACAGCGTGGTGAGACAGTCGACGAAGTGGCTTTCTGAGTTTGCCAGCAGCAATATGTCACTGGCTGATTTATAAATGAGGAGGGTTGAGAGGAAAGTAGGCTTTGTGCATGGCTGCTGGGCTGCATACTTTCATAGAGGCTTATTTGTTGCCATGGGAAGATGCTTCTTCTGCAGGGCTCAGCAGATTTCAGCGTACCATTGTTACCGTTTTCCTTTTTAGTTGCACTTGTTTGCTTCGGCAGAACATCGCATCGATTGTGTTTCTAACAAGTGGAGAGGACTAATGAACTGCAGACCACAGGCGGTGAAGTCATGCAACTCTTTAAATGATCCGTGAAGGCAGAGCGTGTGCTATCCTAGAGGTCTTTATATGACACACGTGGAGATTCAAGGCATGCTCCATGTGTGCAAAACGGGATCTCATTCCAAATGTTTGTGCAAATGTGGTAAAAGGTTGGTAAAGTTTGGTATACACATGAAACTGGCAGAAAGGATTCACTCATGATCAGACTGCAGGTTTTCATTCCAGCCAAAAAGTACCCTATATCATTACTTAGTTCCTCCAAGCTGTGGGTTGCCTTTAGCATCCACACCTGGCGGAGAAATAACCGGTGTCGTTAATGTGTATGGTTCCAGCAGCTTGTATGGTTCCAGCAGCTCCGGTGGAGAATGGAGGCACAGAGGCAGACATGACCACAGAGGAGGAGACGTGGGAGCAGAAGGAGGAGCCTGGGGGAGAAGGAGAGGGAGGAGGAGGAGGAGGAGGAGGAGGAGGACAGGAGGACCTGGGTTCAGGAGGAGCCTGTGAAGAGGGCACCACGAGGATGGAGGACGAGGAGATGATGGAGGAGGAAGAGGAGGAGATGCCCATGCCCAAGGTGGCGCCGGGCCCGCCCAACGCCCCCAAGAAAGAACACGTGAACGTGGTCTTCATCGGTCACGTGGGTGCGTCTCATTTGTGTGTGTGTGTGTGTGTTCATTGATCTTAGAAAGACTGGAACGTTTTATTGACCTCGTGATGTTTGTGTCTGGTAGATGCCGGTAAATCAACGATTGGAGGACAGATCATGTGAGTAATCCATTGTTTGTGATCTGTGTTGCCTGATCACAGGGCTGCACAATGGATAAGAACATCTAGTATTTATCTTAAACTAGTAAAGTGACCCTTTTTTAGTTCATTTGTAATTTAATTAAACTGTGTCAAACAACTAAAATCCATGTTAATTGTTGCCACTATGACTGTCGGCTACAATGCAACAGGTGGCCTCTTATACAGCACAGTGTTTTCCAGTTTAAGCCTCTCATTCACTTTTTGCCTCCATAATGACAAAGATACAATAAATAATCCTCCGACCACGTGTCCATTTCTTTGTTTTCTCCTCTCTAGGTACTTAACTGGAATGGTGGAAAAGCGAACCCTGGAAAAGTATGAAAGAGAAGCGAAAGAAAAGAACAGGGAGACATGGTGAGAGCGGCCATCTTTATGTTCTTGTCTAAAACCAGCATGCATTTGATTTTGTTAAGTATTAATATATGGGAACAAATTGCAGTAAGCCACTTCAATGATTTTAATGAAAGCGTTACATTTGACCTATACTATTTGCATGTTTTTCAATGTGAATCATTTAAGCAAATATCGCAACGGTTTTGATTACAACAGGCTTGTTTGGCCCCCGGCAATCTCACGTTGCTCATAGCAGAGTTATGAAAAAGTGAATATGTTTTGTTGCAGGTACCTGTCGTGGGCGCTGGACACGAACCAGGAGGAGAGAGACAAAGGGAAGACGGTCGAGGTCGGGAGAGCTTACTTTGAGACGGAGAAAAAACACTTCACCATCCTGGATGCCCCCGGACACAAGAGCTTCGTCCCCAACATGATTGGCGGAGCGTCACAAGCCGATCTGGCAGTCCTGGTGAGACGGACAGGGACATGAAACTACCGCTAGCTAGCCCTAAACCTCAGACACACAGACTGAATCCTGTACTGACTGAAGTTATTTATATACATATTGTACAAAAAGTATATTTGTCCATGGAAGCTTCTCAAACCACCTCAGCAGCATATTCCATTTTCCACTGCCCCTCTTTGTTATATATTCTATAAATACGTTCTTTAAAATGTCACTAAATGCTGGAATTCCCTCCGCCTCCCTTATTGGTCCATATCAGGTGATATCGGCAAGAAAGGGGGAGTTTGAGACCGGCTTTGAGAAGGGTGGGCAGACACGGGAACATGCCATGCTGGCTAAAACGGCCGGAGTCAAGCACCTCATTGTCCTGGTCAACAAGATGGATGACCCCACTGTCCACTGGAGCCTAGACAGGTGAGCTAGGACGTTCGGGGAGAAAAAGACATGACGTGTTTTATGTTGGCTTTAATGCCGTGTCGGTGTTCTGTTTTATTCAGATGTTCCCACAAGACTTCTGGCACATTTTTTGGAAAGATTCATGCATGTTTTAGTAAACAATCATGTTTGTTTCCTGACTTTTCTGCAGGTATGAAGAGTGTAAGGAGAAGCTGGTTCCATTTCTAAAGAAGGTGGGCTTCAACCCTAAGAAGGACATCCACTTTATGCCTTGCTCCGGACTCACAGGTTCCAACCTCAAGGACCCCGTACCCGAGTGCCTCTGGTACACGTAAGTGGGCTGTGGGGATGGGTTTGTATGGCAGTACGGTAGTACAGGGGAGACTTTAGATGCTGTGACTGGATGTACCGTCAGTCCTCTTAGCCGGCCAAACACGGCTACACACACACACACACGCGCGCGCTTAATTTACCTGAACAATGATTACTTTGTTAAATGTTGACAAAGTCTTCATAGAAAATCTTTCAGCAGCCATGTTTTAATGGGGACATGATGAGCATGAAATGTTGACTGCATGGTCAGGGCTGCTCTTTCTAAAAGTTGAAAGGTACATTCAGGAAAATCTGGTTCCCCTGCCAGCAGTTTCTGTTCCTTTTAATGCTACGTCGCTATCACTCTGTTTTCTGCCACAATTTTGCTAATGATTCCCAGAGGCGATCAGAGAGCTCTGGTCTGCATCTCATACGGGCCTTCGTGGTCTCACCTTTCCCTTTGCTCAGAGTATAGAAAAACTAACACAA